AGTAGTATCAAACTTCTCATTTTTGTTACTTTTAAGCAGGCTATAAATTGCATTGTAAACATCCCGCTTATGAAATACATGCTCTGGATACTTTTTTTAAGTATCTCTAACTGCGTAATAGGGGCCACTTTGCAATCCATAAAAAAATTTAAGTCCTGAATCATTTCTTTACTAAAACGTCTATATCTAGCAATAACATTTGGTATTTGGGTGGGATTTGTTTCGTGATTGTGTGTACCTTTCAATAAAGTACATCGTATTTGATTTATAGTCTTCAGAAACATAAAGTTGCAGTGCCATTCGCAATCTGTTTTGACAGTACCACGTAAACGGTGTATTGTATGGTCAACCACTTTTCAAGCTTTATAAACACCACTTGATGAACATCGAAATGATTTATGATGGATGATAGTGGGATCTTTCAGGTCCTTATCACTACGAAAAATTTGATAACCAAAGCCTCGTTCGAAGCAGTATTGATGCATAAATGCATCGACTGACAACCAATCATCAAAACTGTCACCAACAGCAAGGTTATATTGATAATTAAAAGGATTCGATATATCATTGAGTAATTCAAAAGTGGGGATATCAGAATCAGGAATATCATTAAGTGGTTCAAGATGTTGTATATTACTGTTAAGAGATAATGGCTCGGAGTCTGGTAAAAAATTCAAGTCTGGTAAAAAGTTCACATCATTGGTAAGAAAATTATGATATAGCGAAATATCATCAAAGTTCTCATTAAAGAAATTAAAAGTATCAGAAAATAAGGCTTCATTATAACCGTTAGAACCACAAGAATAAAGCGTATCAAGTTCCATATTGTTTGAAAGTATTATAAATATCCAAAGAAAACAGACACTAAACAAAAGAAGAAAATGGCGTAAATTCTAAACAGAAGAAGAAAAATGGCGTTTTTGGCAAATAATTATGTAACATCACGCGTATCGGTGAAATTCACCTCTGGTAAATTCACCGGAGTAAATTTTACTGTTTTTTTAAATTTCTTGTGCAGATCGCGGTAAAATTCACCACTCCGGAGTAAATTTTACTGTTTTTTAAATTTCTTGTGCAGATCGCGGTAAAATTCACCACGGTGAATTAAAATGAAATTCACCTCCGGTGAGCATAAAATTAATCCTTTTTTATTTATCTTTTTTAACATTTGTAGATTAAGTAATTATGGTAAACTTTTTTTTTTTAATAAATAAATAAATATGAAGCATAACGAATTTAAAACAAATGATAAAATTAGGCGAATTCGAGTTGATGAAACAACTTGCTCAACTCATTCATTCAAGAAAAATGACTTTGAACATCTCTTTCGAAGAAACATTTTCAAGAATACTCCCTTTAAGACAAACGCTAAACAAGAATTAATGTTAAAAATATTAATATATGAAAATTGTATTGTATTTTATTTGTTAATTTATAAATACATTTTAAATAATATAAATAACATAAAAATAAAAATGAAACTTTTAATAATTTGCAGATAAAAAATTTTTCGTCGCCATTTTCAAATATCTAATTAGCTTTTTATATGATTTATGTACTTCTCTCTTGTTATCAATTTTTGATTGCGCATATGGACATCCTTGTTTAGCTGATTTCTCATAATATTCAAAAGCTTTCATTTTATCTTTTCGAATACCTTTTCCATTTTCATAACATGACCCTAAATTATATTGTGCCACCTCGTTTCCATGTTCAACTGCTGCTCGACTATACCAATAAAACGCTTTATTCAAATTTCTTCCAGTTCCTTCACCTTGTTCATAAAATAATCCAAGATTATTTTGCGCAAGTGGATTCCCTCTTTTAGCGGAAATTTTATATATTCTAAATGCCTCTTCCTTATTAATATACGTTCCAATTCCTTTATCATAAAAATACGCAACTTTAAATTGTGCGCCTAAATGTTCTTTTTCACTCAACGTTTTAAATAATTTAAATGCTTCGGTTTCGTCCTTTTTAGTGCCTCTTCCAAATTCGTAACATAAGCCTAAATTATATTGTGCAGCTTCATTCCCATTTTTCGTAGCATTCTGATAACAACAAAAAGCCTTTACCAAATCTTTTTTGGTTCCTTCACCTTGTTCATATAATACTCCAAGATCATTTTGTGCATATCTATTACCTTTGCCAACTGCTGCTTTATAGAATTTAAATGCCTTTACCTTATCAACCTTAATTTCAATTCCATTATTATAATAATATCCAACTATATATTGTGCTTTCGAATAACCTTGTTTGGCTGATTTCTTATAAAATTCGAAAGCATTTAATTTGCTCTTTTCAATACCTATTCCATATTCATAACATATACCCAAATTATATTGTGCTATCTCATTTCCATTTTCTGCTGCTTTTTTAAACCATTTAAAAGCTATTTTTGAATCACTTGCTATTTCCTCGTCTTCTATATATAACAATCCAAGATTATTTTGTGCAAAGCTATTTCCTTCTTTAGCCAATTCCTCGTATAATTCGATTGCTTTTTTTTTGTCAACCATAGTTCCTATTCCTTCATTAAAGCATGTTGCATACCTATATTGTGCATCTAAATAACCTTGCTGAGTTGAAATCTCATAGTATTCGAAAGCTTTAATTGTATTTTTTAGAATACCTTTTCCATATTCATAACATAAACCTAAATTATATTGTGCTACCTCATTTCCATTGTCCGCTGCTTTATTATACCAATAAAAGGCCATTTTCAAATTCTTTTCAGGTCCTTCACCCTTTTCATATAATAATCCAAGACTATTTTGCGCAAAATTATTTCCTTGTTCGGCCGCAATGCTGTACAATTCAAACGCCTTTATTTTATTAATCGGGGTTCCAATTCCATTATCATAATGATATCCAACTATATATTTTGCATCTAAATAACCTTGTTCGGCTAGTTTATTGTATATATCAAATGCTTTAAATTCATCTTTATCAACACCTTTTCCATATTCATAACATAATCCTAAATTGTATTTTGCTATTTCATTTCCATTTTGTGCTGCTTTTTCATACCAATAAAAGGCGATCTTTAAATCCTTTTTAATACCTTCGCCATGTTCATATAATAATCCAAGATTATTTTGTGCAGATTTATTCCCCTTTTCAGCTGCAATATAATAAAAGTCAAACGCTTTTTCTTTATTAACCTTTGTTCCTATTCCTTTATTATAACAATATCCAACTTTAAATTGCGCATCTAAATAATTTTGATCAGCTAAATTTTCATACAATTTAAATGCTTTAAATTCATCTTTTTTAACACCTCTTCCAAATTCATAACATAAACCTAAATTATATCGTGCAAATACATGTCCATTTTCTGCTGCTTTATTATACCAATGAAAGGTCATTTCTAAATTCTTTTCAATTCCTTTACCTTTCATGTATAATGAGCCGAGAACATTTTGCGCATATTCATTTCCATTTTCAGCTGCATCTTTATATAATTCAAAAGCCTTTTCCTTATTAACCTCTGTTCCGATTCCCTCATCATAACAATATGCCAATTTATATTGTGCATTTAAATATCCTTGGTCAGTGGACATAATATAAAATTCAAAGGCTTCGAATTCATTCTTTTCAACACCTTTTCCATATTCATAACATAATCCTAAATTATATTGTGCTATTTCATTTCCCTTTTCCGCTGCTTTGTTATACCAATCATAGGCCAATTTCAAATTCTTTTCAACCCCTTCACCTTGTTCATATAATGATCCAAGATTATTTTGCGCAAAAATATTACCTTGCTCAGCTGCACTTTTATATAACTTGAATGCCTTTTCCTTATTAATATCAGTTCCAATTCCTTTTTCATAGTAATATGCAACTTTATATTGTGCAAATACATATTCTTGCTCAGCAGACTTCAAATAAAATTCAAATGCTTTGGGTTCATCTTTTTTAACGCCTTTTCCATATTCATAAAATGTTCCTAAATTATATAATGCCAAACCATTTCTATTCTCTGCCGCTTTTTTATACCAATAAAGAGCTATTTCCAAATCCTCTTCAACCCCAATACCGTCTTCATAACAATACCCCAAATGAAATTGTCCGATAATACTTTTATTTTCCACAGACTTTTGATACCATTTGAATGCTAAATATTTATTTTGCTCTATTCCATACCCATCATTATAACATTTGGCAATATAAACTTGGGATAATGAATAATTACTTTCAGATGCTTTAAAAAATAATTCAAAAGCATATTTACTATTCTCTTCCGTACCATAGTAAAATAAACCTAAAAGCCAAATATACTGTGTCTTTTCTTGATTGTCGGACAGCCATTTCATGATTTCATCTGCATTTTGTTTAAGTTGTAATAATTGTTGATTAATGAATTGTTGCACTTGATCAAATGTAATACCTTTATTATGTTTTTCGATTAGAATTTTAATTAACTGATCAATGACCACATGCGTCAAAGATTCCGTTGATTGTAGATTTAAATTACTTGATACACATTCATGAACATGTAATTTTGCACTTTTATCATACTCCATAATGATATTTGGTATATTATCTATCAATAATTCCATATTTATATCCGTAATTTCTTTGCTAAAATTTGAATTTGAATCAGAACTATATCTTACCGACTGATGATCTTCATTTCCTTTAATATTAGAGGACATCGCTTTAAGACATCTAACAACTTCTTTTATATTAGGACGTTCATTTGGTTCTTGTTTCCAACATTCTAATAAAAAAAATAACATAGATAAGATTTATATATTCCCCCTTTTTTTTTTAAAAAAAAAAAAAAAAATGTAACATGAATCAACTTACTTGTATATAAATTGCTATATTCTATAGGGGTGCCTACGATAATTTTCTCCCTTTCTCCTTTTTGTATGGCCAAGGCTAAACTTACATCAAATTTTATGCCATCGGTATAAAATGGACGACGTCCACTCGAAATTTGCCACAAAATAACTCCAATACTGTATACATCAGATTTTTCATTTAATCTGTAATTTTTGCCATTAAGATTACGTTGATAGTTAAACATCTTTGGATCCGTATAAGGTATTACACCAAACATCATTGACGTGTCACTTTTACTACATGATGCTTCGGCAATCGTTTTTGATAAACCAAAGTCTATCAACTTGATACTTTTCTGATGAACAAGTATATTTCCATCATGCTTCAAGTGCATTTAAATATAGGTTATAAATTAGATTATGTTTCGTTTAAAGAATTTAACGAAAAATTAAAAAAATTTTAAAATTAAATGTTACCAAATCACGATGAATAATATCACATTCGTGTAAGCATAATATAGCATTGGCTAAGACAATTTTATCATCCCATTCAAGTTCATCAAAATGTTTATTTAGATAAGTTTTTAATGTGCCGCCATCGGCATATTCTAAAACTAGAGAGTAATTACACATTTGATGAATCACGTCTGATTATAAAAAAGGGTAGAAAAAATTATTCAACATTAGTATCAAATAGGCCAAATGCTAGTTTTCTTGAAAATGCGCGTTGTATTTAAATCGGACTTCGCAAAAATCTTTGTCGTGGAATCTGCGGAATATTTAACATTCCGCAGAATTTCGGATTTTTCAACTTTTTTTTTATTTTTTACGTTGCCGCAACATTTTTTCTTTTCTTACCAGTTTTGATCTTTGTAATTCCATAAAATTTTATTATATTTGCATGAAAATGAACATGTCGATGCAATTTTATCTGTGAAAGTATAAATATGGTCATTTAAACAAGCAAACAAAGCTATATAATCATTTAATTCGAATTCTATATATAATACCTCTTTAACAATTTCTTTAAG